AATAAGAATTAGAATATTAACTTTAAATAGAAGCTAGTATAGCTACGCTAGAGCTTAGTAATATCTAGATTATTAGTAGTAGATAGCTCTTATATACTCTCTATCTCTATAAAGAAGCTCTAAGAGCTTTTTCTAGAAAAGCTAAGTAAAATTATTAATAAATTAGTTAGCTAATTACTTATACGCTAAGTACTTAAATAATAGACTTATATATATTATTAGATTACTACTAATATATTTACTAAAGAAGATACTATATATAAAGAGTATTAGAAGCTATAGTAGAAAAAAGCTATTATCTTAGTAAAGATTTAATAGCTATAAGCGTAACTATAATTCTACTCTAGAAGCTAAATACTATCTACTTTATTAACTTAACGTATAATATACTTTATAAATTAGATACTATATATATATAAAACTAGCGCGTTACTACTAGATAACTTAATTCTAGGTTTTTATCTAACTACGTATACGCTTACTATACTACTAGTAACTAAATATTACTTAGAAAGCTAGAGGTTTTTTATTAAGTTTCTAGACTCTTTATTACTATCTAATAGTAAGATTATTACCTTTAAGTAATAGAGAAATAAGTTATAAGATAAGCTTTAAGCTAATTATAACTAGTATCTAAGAAAGATAGCTAAGAATACTAAGAAAACTATTATAGTATATATACGTATATAAATAGAAAAAAATATATACTATAATAATTTAGTTTAGAAATTTACTTTAGTTATATAATCTTAGGTTACGTAATCTTATTATATAACCTAGTCTAGCGTCTTAGCGCTTAGTATTATAGCGTAAATAAGAAATAAGAATATAAGATATATAATAAGTTATATAATATTAAGCTATAAAGGTATAAAGATATAGAGTAGATATCTACTATACTAAGACGCTAAGATAGCTAAGATTATATAACTATATAGGTAGATTAGTACTATAATAGTACCTCTCTTCTAGTATACTATACGTCTTAGATAGCCTATAAAATAATAATAAATTTAGACTAACTAGTATCTATAGCCTTTTTATCTATTATAGTAGACTTAGCTTACCTAGGTATTAGGTATAGAACCTTAGTAGCGCGTTATTCTAACCTTTTAGGTCTAATACTAGTTACTACGTTATAGCGTAGTTCTTCTATTTAATAAGATACTATAGTTCTAGTTACTTATTATAGTAGTCTAGTATTATATTAAATTTCTACTTCTTAGTAAGTTTCTCTGTTCTATCTTTCTTTTTAAGAACTCTTTTATAGAGATAATATAACTCTACTTTATTAATTACCTATTAACCTAGAAGCTCTATAGAGGTATACTAGAGGCGAAGTAGTAAGTTATAGAATACTAGAAAGATTTATACGTATAATAGAAGTTCTAGTATATATAATTAGTTATAGACCTATTTATCTTTATATTTTATATATTAATATAGATAAGATCTTCTATTAAAAATTATAGTATATTTTTACGTCTCTTATTTATATAGTATTTATACTAAGTAATAGACTAGATAGCTAGTACTTTTAGTTAGAATAGAATATAGCTAAACTAGTTAGCTACGTTGTTAGCTCTAAAGAACTTACGTTTTTATATAGTAGATAGGTTTAGTAGTACTAGCTACGCTAGCTTAACCTCTAGTCTTAGATAAAAACTATAATTTATAAAGAATAGAGATACTTCTATAGTCTTAGATATAATATTATTTATTATAAACTCTATAAGTAGTAGCTATTATACCTAATTATCTTAGTAGAAGTTTATAAAGGCCTAGAGGTATACTTTAATAAAGCTATTAACTTACTCTATTTATCTATCTATCTTTAAATAGAATAAAGATAAGTATTTAAGTATAACTTTTAAGTAAGTAGAAAGCTACGTCTAGAACTAAGAAATAAACTATATACTATAATTAAAAATAATATTATTAGAGTAGCTATAGAGTAAGTAAATTTATAAAATAAATATATTAGTTAGCTTCTCTATATTAATTTTTATTATAGAGATAAGGTAGCGTATTTTTATAAGTTAATAGACTACTATAAGAATATATTTATATTTTTAACTATATAACCTATACTTAGATAGTAGAGTAATATAATTAACTAATATATTAGACTATACCTAGAATAGAACTAGTAGTAGTTTTAGAAAGCCTTAGAGTAAGAGTCTAGATACTATTATTCTTATATATATAGTATAAGCTTATATATACGTCTTAATATTATAAGAGATTTATAGCTACTAGTAGTTATAGTAGATAAGGTCTATAGTTTTAACCTATCTAGAGTAGCTAGTAGAGCTAGTATTATAGGTATAGTATAAGATCTATATACGTAGTTTATTATTTAGTAGTATAAATATATAATCTCTATACTAAATATAGTTTTATTAGACTCTATAGTTAAGTATTAGAACCTAGAAAAGTCTTTAAAGGTGTTTTAGCTAGCGCTTTACTAATAGGTTCTCTAGCGTAGTAATTATTTTCTATACTAGGTCTAATATCTTATATATAGTCTATAATAGG